AGAATGAACAACATAAACCAATGAACAAAAACAGATATAGAGACAGAGAAGCATCGATCAGATGCTCAAAACCCAGAGGGAAGGTAGGGGAGGGTGGGGGTGAGGGGGAGAGATCAACCAAAGGACTTGTATGCATGCATATAAGCATAAGCCATGGATGTGGACAACAGGGGGTGAGGGTGAGGGCAGGATTGGGGGATGAGAGGACATTGGGGGGATAAGGTCACATTTGTAATATCTTAATCAATAAAGGGAAAATAAATTTTTTAAAAAAGTGTAGTATGCAAATTGTCCCCTCAACAGGGAGTTCATCCGGGAGTTCGACCAGGGGGCGGGGCCAGCTGGGGGAAGGGAGGGAGTACCCGGCCAGGAGCCAGCAGCCGCTAGGGACCCTACCAGTGCATCTATTTCATGCACTGGGCCTCTAGGATAGTGAATAATATTGTAATAACTATATCTGGTCCAGGTGGGTACTGGAAATATCATGGGGAAGGTTTTGTAAAGTATATGATTATCTAACTACTATGCTGTACACCTGAAACTAACACCAAATAATACTGAATGTAAAAAATGCTTCCAATTAAAGTATAATCGGCTAAAACTTTATGTCTCATCGAGCACTTAAAAAATGAAATTTTCCCGGCTGGCATGGCTCAGTGGTTGAGCATGGACCTATGAACCAGGAGGTCACAGTTCAATTCCCAGTCAGGGCACATGCCCAGGTTGCGGGCTCGATCCCCACTGTGAGGCATGTAGGAGGCAGCCGATCAATGATGCTCTCTCATCATTGATGTTTCTATCTCTCTCTCCTTCTCCTTTCCCCTCTTAAATCAATAAAAATATTTTTTAAATGAAATTTACCCTGAAAACAAGCAAGATAAAATTTCAGCTAAAATCAACTTTATGCCATTAAACTTTTGTTCCAAACTTTTGATCAAGGAAGCAAGCAAGCCAAAGACCCACATTTCATCTTTGATGCCCCATCCTTGTTCTACTCACATGAGCATAACTCAGGAAGAAGAGCTGGTTATTGGTGAATGTGATACCTGGTAGCAGAGGCTCCTCAACTCCCTGCCTCTTGTCATTTATCCATTTCCTATAAGCCTGGTGAGAGAAGCAAAGTGAATGATCTTCTGCAATGATGTCTTTTCTCTTTTCAATCCAGTGCAGATATATTAAATATATCCTCTACCATGTACATAATATATTTTGTCAAGGTTTCCTTTAAGAAAACAAACCTGGAAATGCAAATCAATGTTGTATGGCTTAACAGTGAGGCAGGTTCACCTGAAAAAAGACCTTACATTCAATAAATACCAAAGCAGTAGGGTCAAAGTGTTCAATAACTACCCTTCCTGAAAAAAATAATGTTCTTTTTCTTCCTACCAGGGAACAAACAAATCAAGTACAATGACAAAGCCTATGGAAATAAATTTTGGGGTCAACATACTGCCAATTTTAAATTTTGCCAAGTAAGAGGGAAAACAATCATCTTCGATAACCATCATCTTGTAGAAATAAAATGTATTTTAACTAGAATAGAGGAAGGATTTAATCTTGGAATAACACCCTTGTCTTTACATTGAATGGATTTAGCTTTATGAAAATCTTTCCATATCACCCTATGTTTCTTGTTTCACCACAAACCAGTGGATTATGAAAGCATTATTATGGACTCTTACCTGGCCCACTATATGAGAACCACTAGCCTCTGGTCATAATAAGTTTGATATTTTAAGAGAAAATTATAAGGAAGGAAAACTCATATGAACCTAGCCCTGAGGAGATTTCTGTAGCATGCTTTGATATTATTATGTATCTTCTGAAAACTATCTTTTAAATACATGATACTTAATAACAAAGACTTTTGTTTAGGAAGTAACTTTACACCCTAAAAAGAAAAAAAAAGAAATGTGGCTCTATTCATATCATAGAGTATAATAGAGTCAATGGGGCAATATAATTCTACTTACAGAAATTCACAGAATTTACAGAAATCTAAGTCCTCAAGAACATGACTATGCTGTAAATTGAGATGTACCCATACAGTGTTTTAGAGCTTAATTTTAAAAATCACAGCAAATGTTGCAGTACATACCCTAAAAGCTTCCCGCAGACCTCCATTATCGGCAATATTTTCTCCCAGGGTCCTCTTCCCTTTTACCTAATGAGAAGAAAAAGAAAAAAAGTGTTTCACAGTCAACTATCATTCAGCAAGAGGCATAAATATGACAGCAATAAAAAGTGCCACATTTTAAAGAGAAAATTACATTCAATAAGTCAGAAGTAGTCATAATATACTTTGAGATAGAAAACTAACCCCAGCAAGGTGCTCCTGAATATAATAATTTCTATTTTATTATGTAACACATTTTTTCCACCAAACTCTTTATTCTTACCAATTTAACCAGCTCCAATAAAATGTTAAAAAAAATATTCTCATTGGCTCTAATTTAAAATAGGAAAAAAATAAAAATGTCAATATACAGATTACTTTCTCTGATTAACTCACATAATGTGAGTATTCTTTTCAGTGTGTTCATGTTTCCAAAAATTTACCTCACATAGTAACAAGAGTTTCAGACCAACCATCTCCGTTTCACCTTCACCAATTTCCAAGAAAAATTAAAAGGACAGTAGTTTTCATGGGGAACAAAGGTCGAGGCTTGCAATATGCATGATAACTAACCAAGCATGGTGACGAAATTCTTCTAAACATTTGAAGATTGTTCCTTAAACCCTTTTATAGGCTATGTCAAAGAACAATCTAAACCAATATAGCCCACAAGCCAAAATCCAACCTGCTGCTGTGTTTGTACAGACAGCAAGGTAAGACTGGATTTTACACTGTTCAGTCTTTGGGGAGGAAGAATAGAAGAAAGCATAATATTTTGGGGTATGTGAAAATTATGTGAAGTTCAAATTTCAGTGTCCATAATTCAAGTTTTATTTGCACAGAGCCATGCCTATTCATGTACATATTGTCTGTGGCTGTTCTATCACTACTGTGTCAGGGTTGAGTTATTGCAACAGAGAATTTACAGCCCACAAAGCCTAAATTATTTACCAACTGGTCCTTTACAAAAGTTTGCCCATCCCTGCATAGGAGGCAGAATAATGTTCTCTGCTAAAAGATGCCTATGTCTTAATCCCTGGAATCTGTGAAAATGTTGCCTGATATGACAAAAGAGATTTTTAAAATATGATTAAGGTAAGGATATTGAGATGGAGACATTGGCCTACATTGTTCAAGTAGGTCTAATCCTATATAATAAAAGCCCAATATGCAAATCAACTGAACAGCAGAACAACTGGTAGGCAGGGGTGAGGCCAGTGAGCGGGCAGTGCCATGCTAGCCAAGGCAGGTGCCAGCGGGCAGAGGGAGGGGACGGTGATTGGTGGGCGGTGTGGCTGCAAGGTGATGGGGACTGGGCCAGCATCCTCCAATCTGCTCCACCAGTTGCCTCCCTAAACTGTCAGTCAGACATCCCCCGAGGGCTCCTGGACTGCAACTGGGTGCAAGCTGGGCTGAGGAAAGCCCTCTCCTCCCCAGGTGCATGAATTTTCATGCACCAGGCCTCTAGTGTAATTATAAGGGTCCTTTTCAAACAGAGAAAAAGGAAGTCAAAAGAGTGAGTGTCTCAGCGTGATGCAATGTGAAAAGACTCAACCCGGCATTGCTGGTGCTGAAGAAGGAATCTGGGCAGCCTGTAAAAGCTAGAAAAGGTGAGGAAACAGATTCTTCCCTAGAGCAGCTAGAAAATAAAGCAGTCCTAGTGAGACCTGAGTCAGACATACAGAACTGTATAATAATAAAGTTGTGTTATTTCAAGTCACTAAGTTTGTGGTGATTTGCTATAGTAGTAACAGGAAATAATACACCCTGTTCTAAACCTTCAAGCCATGGATCCTATCAACTCTTTATTTTCATGCTAGCCCAATCACCCAAGTATCAGGCAATACCAATGAATTTAAACAAATCTTCAGATAACAGTGATCTCTATAATCACCCAGGACCTTCCCAGCTTCAGTCTCAAAAAGTTACCACTCCAGCTTTACATATCATCTTACAACACAAACAAAAATTAACTCAAAAAGGATGACAGACTTGAACACCTAAAAACCATAAAACTCCTAGAAGAAAACAGGCAGTGAGCCCCTTAACAGTGGTCTTGGCAATAACTTTTTTTTTTTATCTGACACCAAAAGCAAAAGCAAAAATGAATAAGTGGGACTACATTAAACTAAATCCTTCTACACAGCAAAGGAAACCATCAAAAAATTAAAAGGAAACCTACTGAAGGGGAGAAAATAATTGTACTAGTATATCATGTATCAGATAAAGGGCTAATATATAAAATATACAGAGAACTCATACAACTCAATAGCAAAAAAACAAACAATTCCATTTTTAAAAATGGACAGAGGATCTGAATGACATTTTTCCAAAGAAGAAATATAGATGGCCAATAGGTACATGAAAAAATGCTGAACATCGTTAATCATGAGAAACATCCAAATCAAAACCACAATAAGATATCATCTCACAGCTATTAGAAGAGCTACTATTAAAAAGACAAGAAATAACAAGTGTTGGCAAGGCGTATAGAAGAAGGAACCCCTATACACTTTTGGTGGGAATGTAATTAGTGAAACTACCATGGAAAATGGTATAAAATTTCCCCCAAAAAATTAAATATAGAATTACCATATGATCCAAGAATTCCATTTCTGGGAATGTATCCAAAGAAAATGAAAACATTAATTCAAAAAGATATATGCACCCCCATATTCACTGCAGTAGAAACAATCTAAATGACCACTGATGATAGATGCATGGATAAATAAGATGTGAAACACACACACACACACACACACACACACACACAATGGAATACTACTCAGCCATAAAAAGAATAAAATCTTGACATTTAAGACAACGTGGATGGACAATAGAGGGTATTATTCTATGTGAAATAGGTCAGAGTGAAATAAGAGAAAGATAAATACCATATGATCTCACTTATGTGTGGAATCTAAAAACAAAACAAAAATGAAACTGAATTCATAAAGAGAACAGAGTGGTGGTTGCTAGAGGCAGAGGGTGGGGGTAGGGGAAATGAGTGAACTTGTTTTGTTTTGTTTTCAGTTTAAATAAACTGAATTAAAATTATTTTTTTGTTAATCCTCACCCGAGGATATTCTTCCATTGATTTTTAGAGAAAGTGGAAGGGAGGAAGAGAGACACACAGAGAGAAACATCAATGTGAGAGAGACACATCAATTGGTTGCCTCCTGCACACTCCGACTGATGTCGGGGATTGAGCCTGCAACTGGGGTACATGCTCTTGACAGGAATCGAACCCGCCACCCTTCAGTCAGCGGGCTGATGCTCTATCCATTGAACCAAACCAATCAGGGCTGAATTAAAAATTTTTAAGAGAAAAAAAATAAAGCTATTGATTCTCTTAGCAGCAGCTTCCTTGACACTACTGCTAGCCTACCAGTTGAAAAAATAGTTTAGCTGAGCTCTTGATAATTGTGACTACTGGTTAGGGTGGGTGCATACCTTGGACATTTTTTCATGGAAATATTTGAGCAATAATCGTTGAAAAACTACATAATTTCATCTAGTCATTACAGGAGGTGGACAGAGTATTTATAAGGTTGCTGTATTTTGCTTCAGTATAAAGAAAAGCAGCAGGGCATCAGAGAAATGCAAATTAAAACTACAAGACATCGCCTCACACCTGTCAGAATGGCTACTATCAACAAACGTTTAGAAGAAGATATGGAGAAAAGAGAACCCTCATGCACAGGTGGTGGGAGTGCAGATTGGTACAGCCACTGTTGAAAGCAGTATGAAGTTTCCTCAAAAAAATGAAAATGGAATGGCCTTATGACCCAGATATTCCACTCTGGGAACACATCCAAAGAAGCCCAAAACACCAATTTGAAAGAATATATGCATCCCTGTGTTCTTTGCAGCAGTATTTACAATAGCTAAATTCTGGAAGCAGCCCAAGTGTCCATCAATAGATGAGCGGATAAAAGAGTTATGGTACATTTATACAATGGATTACTATGCAGCTATAAAAAAAAATAAGGAAATCTTAACATTTGCGACAGCATGGGTGGATCTGGAGAATATTATATTAAGTGAATTAAAGCAGTCAGAGAAAGACAAGTACCATGTGATTTCACTTATATGTGGAATCTAATGAACAAAATGAACTAACAAACAAAACAGAAACAGACTCATAGAGAACAGACTGACAGCTGTCAGAGGGGTCGGGGTCGGGGCTGGGTGAGAAAGGTGAAGGGATTAAGCAAAGAAAAAAAAAGAAAGACTCATGAACACAGGCAACAGTATGGTGATTGTCAAAGAGAAGGTTAGGGGAGGTAGAAGAAGTTAAAGAGGGAGTTAATGGTAATGGAAGGAGACTCACCACTTGGGGTGGTAAACACACAATACAATAAACAGATTATGCATTACAGAATTGTATACCTGAAACCAGTATAATTTTATTAACCAATGTCACCTCAATAAATTAATTTTTTTAAAGTTATGAGTGACTAGATATCTTGTTCAGGACCAAAAGTTAGAATTGTCCCTTGCCACCCTGTGGTAACCTGATGGCGATAAAATAAATTCATGCTTCTTTCAGTTAACACCCAAAATCCCTTGGACTACTAGAGACTTGGAATTCAACTACTCCCCAAAACACAGCACATCTTGACACAGTCTTCCTCCCCAAATGTGAGTGAACTGGAAAAATAAAAGGGTTTGTATTCCTAAATGTCCCAGGGGAGAATGAAGTTGTTGGCCTGGGAACCACACTTTGAGCACCAATGGTCTAAAGCAAGCTAACATCCCAATGAGAAAAATCCACAATATGTCCCCTTTACCACAGTCATACTCACATTTAGGCCAGCTTTCTTCCAGTAATAGTTGCTATACTGGTTAACCATGCACTTTGTTTTTTCCTTAAACTTTTCTTCGGAGTCCAGAGACCACCAGGGATCCAGGTTTCCATTTTTATCATATTTTCTACCTAGCAAAAGGAAAGTTAAAATATATTTGTATTATTTATAGAAACTAATTTCTTCATCTTCCCTATCCCTCGTTTCCACAAGTCTTGAAAAAGCAGTCCCAAGCAACAGAGACTACTCCTGGGAGCTGCTCCCGCCTTCTCTCCAGTGTCACAGGTTCGTTGTGAAAGAGGAAAAAGGAGAAAGAGGTTTGAGGAAGTTCTTTCCTTTGAAGCAACAAAGAGCATTTCAATAAGATTCATCAGCTTATGGCAAACACTTTTTTTTTTCAGTTCAAACTCATTTCCTTTTTATTAAAATTCAAGTTACCATTACATGGTTTGGTACTCAATAAAGGAAAATTTGTTCAAATAAGGTAATATGTTATCATCAGTATTTCCAGATGATTGTTTACACTCAAGTAGTAGTATCAGTAAATGCTTGGGAAGCCTATCGATGGGGTTTATACCTTGTTAAGGCCCAGCTCCTCTGGAGTGGAGATTCCCAGTTCATTGAAAGTTGGTCTAAGTTCCTGAATGACATAAGGGTGGATTTCCTTATGCGGTCCTGCTTTGTCCTTAACAACCTCTAGGATGCGAACAGCTCTTGTAAAACCATTTAACCGTCTGCATGCCCGCAAAGCAGCATCAATGATTTGGGGTTCTGGAACCAGATCTTAGCCAACAAGCATGTTCATCCCTTTACGCAATTCCCAGGCATCAATATCTGGCTTGTTGAAGTATGTCATTCAGCGAGCATCAAATTCCTCATCTGTCTCATGTGACCCACGGGAGTAACAGCAAACTGACTGGATACATCACCAGGACAGAGTCTCGGGTAATGATTGTGGTGGTAGGTAAGCCGGTCTCCTTTGTTTTTCCGGCACGCACCATTTTTAACTAATCTTGGATTCTTTGTCGTCACCTAATATGACCCAAAATCTTCTCTGGATTATGAAATTAAATGGCTTCAATCAGAAAGCCCGTGGAGGGAGTCAGAACACCAGTGAAATTCCAAATGATCCATAGGAATAGCCCTAATGAGTCATTCACACCCAGCAACCACAGCCCCTGACTCAACCCTATAGGAACGTGATTCCTCCAAGTTGTCAGGAACTGAGAGACACAAAACCTGTTATGAATCATTCCACAGCCATCAGTGTGGATGGAAGGCCCATCTGTCCTGCTATGACAAGGAAGGTTGCTTTAAAAAGAGAACTTGGAACAAGAATGGAAATCTCCAAAACATAATGGAAAATGCTTTTTTTTTTTTTCCTACAGGCTCACTCTTCACTTTCTCTACACCCTTCAAAAATGTTTGGGTGTATCTGAACTATCTTCTGTACTCACCCAAGATTACCACTGGTTTACTTTTTTTTTTTTAATCCTCATCCAAGAATACTTTTTCCATTGATTCTTTTAGAGAGAGCAGAGGGAGGGGGAAAGAGAGAGAGAGAAAAACATCGATGTGAAAGAGACACATTGGTTGGTTGCCTCCCACACGCGCCCCGACTGGCGTTGGGGCATCGAGCCTGTAACCAAGGTATGCGCCTTTGATCAGAATCGAATCCAGACCCTTCAGTCTGCAGGCCAATGTTCTAACCACTGAGAAAACCCGGCTAGGGTTGGTTTAAACTTAATTATGCAGAGAATTCTTTGTTGGGCATAAAAGAAAGTTCCCTAACCAAAGATGTTAATTGCTCTATTGCTCTGGCTGGTGTGGCTCAATGGTTGATCATCGACCTATGAACCAGAGGTCACAGTTCGATTCCTGGTCAGGGCACATACCTGGGTTGCAGGCTCCATCCCCAGTAGGGGTTGTGCAAGAGGCAGCTGATTAATGATGCTCTCTCATCATTGTTGTGTCTGTCTCTCCCTCCTCCTTCTTCTCTGAAATAAATATATATATATATTGTTTGTTTGTTTGTTTTTAAAGATGTTAACTGGAATAATCTGAAGCTCTTCAATAAGGCTAGATGCCACTACCACCCTCTCTGGAAGAGTATGGAGTCACTGTCCTCCAACCACTAACCAACCAATTATAAAATAGATACTAGGCATGTCCTTATATGTACAATGTACTGATTACAGAGTGAAATTATTAGATGTTGTCCTTTGAGAGACAATCCTGAAGGCATCTAGAAGATTCCAAGGAAGCACTGTAGCACTGTACTTAAATTTCCCAGGAAGAAAGACCCAGAACCAAGAGATCAATACTGGCTTTTGTTTCTTATCTAAGACTATCCTCTCAGATAAACCAAGCATGCAAAGCTAGAAAGTATTGCTCTGGTTATTCAGATGACTACAAGGCAGCTATATTTTAACCGGGAGGAAAGACCAAGGGAGCACAAAGCCTATGTGACTAAGTAAGGGCCAGTGGGAATACAGGAAGAATTGTCCATAAGAAGAACCAAAAGGGTCTCTGGCCCTGGGAAGATACCCAGGAAAGGATGTTGGAGATATCACAGACATGAAAGAAAGGGGTCCCTCTATTAAATGTTGCCTTGAGCCAGCCGGGTTCTCGAGTCTACATGTAAATCTTTGTGTGGATGTAGAGGTGATCATAATTTGCTGCTAATTCATAAGTTTTGGAGTTTCATGTGGCTTTCCAATAGTACTCCAGAATTGAAGGAGAAAGAAGTGTTGTTTAAAAATGGTAACTCTCAAAGAGTGATCATTTCTTTAGTGTATGCCATATTCTGCTCTTTTCTTTTGCTTAAATGTCTTCAGGGAACATAGCATATTCTATATTATGCATTATTAGGAAAGCATAGCCTTTTTAAAATTCTAAATATATGCCAGCATAGAGAAAAACAGAGACTGAGCATTGCATAATCCTTGAAACAGTATAAAGGAACCAGTCAGCCAAGCTCCAGATTCCTAACTCACTGAATCCTCATTTGGCAGCATGTATAATCATCCTCAGAGCAGAGCTCACACCTCCAGAGAGAGCATCAAGATGGTGAATAAAGAAATGACAAAGGGAAGAAGCTATAAAGGAATTCCTATAATTATTGTGGCAACTACAGGAATTGTGATCTAAATGCACAACGAACTTCATTGAAATGACAAAGTCACTTTTTATCATTCTATCCCATTGCAATGGGAACAATTATTTATTTATTGCAAGCTATCACTGCAAGACATGGGGGAAAGTTTACAATCAGCAATCATACTTCACTGGATAATCATCAAGCTATGATGATGCCACTATGCAAAAATAATAGCAACAATTAACATCTACATAGTCAACATTATCATAAAAGCAGCAGCTTATACAATGAACCAGTACTTACCATTATTATCAAATCCATGTGTAAATTCGTGTCCAACAATTACTCCTATAGCACCATAACTCAAAGATCTACAACATAAATATATAATTTGCAGAAAATTACAAGCATGAATCTCAGAGCATAATCCTTTAATTTTTTTTCAATGAGAAGCAAAGATAATTTGCTTTCTAGTACCCATGTTAATAATAATCACAAAATTGTAAAAAAACAAACAAACAAACAAAAAACAGCCCTATCTGGTTTGGCTCAGTGGATAGACCGTCGGCCTGCAGACTGAAAGGTCCCAGGTTCGATTCTGGTCAAGGGCATGTACCTTGGTTGCAGGCACATCCCCTGTTGGGGGTATGCAGAAGGCAGATGATTGATGTTTCTCTCTCATCGATGTTTCTAACTCTCTACCCCTCTCCCTTCCTCTCTGTAAAAAATCAATAAAATGTATTTTTTTTAAAAATCCAAATGTGCCCTTCTCATTAAAATGGACAAAGAAAATATAAATTCTCACATTATCATTATGACCATGTATGGGGCTTATTTCTCCTACCCTATGAAATTAGGGGCGTGAAAGAAATGGTTTGTAAAGTCCCTTCCAGCCCTAAGGTTTTTATTATTCTATATCAGGTCTAGCTGTAGTTTATATTTATAAACACCCAAAGCAGTAGCAGGGTTTGAAAAGATCCTGTCAGTCAACATACCATTTATTTTTTATCTGAGAACCTGCTGAAAAATCTCTACAGACTTAGAAGTTAAATTGTTTTTCAAATGTAGTCATAAAAAAGGAATAGAGCAGAGATTAAAAGGGATCAGCCTGCTGTCAAGGTAGTCACGTTTCTCTGCTTTTGTGACAGACACCCTCACAACTGAATGACAAAGACTGTGAAGCCTTAACCAGATTTGGAAAAGTCATTTTATCATTTCTCTTCACCTCTGAAGATGCATGTGGTAGATTACCTACAAGGGTGACCACTGACAATTCCACACACCCTGAATGCATGTGCCACCTCCTCCCAACAAGAGGCAACGACTTCCTTTCCCTTAAATCTGGATAGGCCTCTGGATTTGCTATGATCAAAAGAAGGCAACAGAAGGGGCCGGGTGTGGCTTCTGGACCTAGGCTTTGACAGGCCTTAATTCTTAAAAATTTCCTACCTCGGAAGTTAATTCCATGTAAAGAAGGTAAACTAATCAGCTGGACACAAAGAGGCCAAGCAAGGCAAGCAAGAGACACCAAAAGTTGTCAGACTTCTAATGGAAGAGAGACCTAGCTAGGCCCCAGCCATTCAAGCCAGTCCAACTGAGACAGCAGACATGTGAAAGTCACCTTAGATCCCCTGGTCCCAGTTAAGTTGCCAGCCAATGAACATCACACAGAACAGAGACAAGCGTCTCGGCTGAATCTTGCCCAAACTGTGGATTCATATGCCAGTAGTGGTTGTTCAATGGAGCTTTGTTACATGGCAATATAACTGAAACAGAAGCATGTTAATGGTGTATGAAGTAATCAATAAGGGGGCTTCCACTCATGTGTGTCTGCGTTCTTCTCTGTCAGCTTTAAGTTCTATGAAGGTTAAACCTGTATCTACTTGATCACTGCTAAATTCTCTGTACCTAGTACACAGTAAGAAAGTAACAACGATTTAACTAACAGATTAACTTTACCGTTTCATGCAAATGACAGATTGATATGTACCTTCTTTTAGTTATTTAATGTATGGATAAGGATTATAAACAACTTAAAATCCTTGTTATGAGGATACTTCCTGAGATTTGCAATTATGCTAAAAATACCAGTATTTCACAGTTACTTCCTGACATGCAACATCAAAGTAACCCGGCAAATAGACAGGACCAGTAAGTAGAAGGAACGAGAATTTTTGAAGCAACATGTTATTACAGGACATAATGATCCTTAACATGCTAATTGTTTGTCTCAACTATACCCAAGGAAGTGTTGCAAGATTTAATTTTTCCCCTTGGTGGCAATTCTTTCCTTTGTTATTTCTTTCCTGCAAGGTAATTTGCATTTGAAAAAATGCTTCCTACTGTTTTTCCATCATTGCAAACCTTCATTAAAGAAGTAAGAGTGAAATTATGCATTTCAATCATACTGCTATCATAGCAGTGTGGGACAAACTTGTAATTTTACATAGTGCTAATTTTTACAGCAGTAGCTATCACTGTGCAGCCTGTAACATTTCGTTTTTTCCAGACCTCTCAGCCCTGACAATCATATTCGATTCTCTACAAGCCTTGGTCAGTGCTGTTGAATTTAAGAGATGAACAATGGACGTTTACCGGAACTGTTCTACAATAAATGTCCCTTCAGAGAGACTGCTCCAATAAGCTTCCTACTTGCAAAGGGTAATAGAGAATTCAGAAAAATGATTGAATCATTGTAAGTTCTGATTCTCAGCCAAATAAGTGCAATCCTTTGGACAAGAGATAAAGAAGTAATTTTACATGACTAAGCCTTACAATGATAATGGTTCATGATACTAAATTCACATATTCCATGTTATCAATGGACATTATTTAAATTAGCATCGTAAAAATAGATAGATAAATAAATAAATAAATAAATAAATAAATAAAGCTATGCCTTTTAACAATATGACTGGCTGGCCAGAACAAGGAAACTCCTGCAGAGAAAATCTAGCCTTCCAAAAATAAAATGGGAAAGATGAAATGTTTCCACCTACTCAGTTTCTCTTTTGTTCTTACTACCCAATGGATTTAACAAATGCACAGGGTTTGCTGTCAACAGGGAATCAATCATACTGCTGTCTGGAGCAACCATTATCTCAAGCAGTCATCAAGTAAGGGCTACTCTATGCCTGAAATGTAAATTCATAAAAATCTCAGAGTTAGAAGTGTCTTTAAGGTCATCTAACTCTACTCCTTAGCTGAACTGGGCCCCCCCGGCTCTACAAAAACCAGTTCAAAAGGTCCTAAGACTTCTCCTTGGGCACTTTCAATAACCAGGAGCTCCCCCGCTTCTGAGGTGGCCCATTCTCTCATCAGTGGTTGTAAATAAAATAGATCTCGCCATAGCCGGTTTGGCTCAGTGGATAGAGCCTTGGCCTGAGGACTGAAGGGTCCCGGGTTCGATTCTGGTCAAAGGCATATGCCGGGATTGCAGGCTTGATCCCCAATGAGGGGCATGCAGGAGGCAGCTGATCAATGATTCTCTCTCATCATTGATGTTTCTATCTCTCTCTCCCTCTCTGAAATCAATAAAAAAATATTTATAAAGAATAAAATAAAACAGATCTCCCTATTGTTAAAATGGAATCTCTTTCCCATGTCTTATATCCATTGGGTGGAATCTCTCGCTGAACACCCTCTGACCCCCGACCCCAAATATAGTAAATCATTCTGCCACCTTAACTTTCTTTCAAAAATATGAAGTTATGAGGTTCTTCCTCAAATGCTCTCTTCTCAAGTTCTTTCAACTATTTTTCTTGTCATGAACTTAGACCAGTGGTCAGCAAACTGCGGCCCCTTGAGTGTGGCTCTTCCACAAAATACCACGTGCGGGCGCGCACGTACAATGCGATTGAAACTTCGTGGCCTCACTCAAGGGGCCAAAGAGCCGCATGTGGCTCGCAAGCCGCAGTTTGCCGACCACTGACCTAGACCAACATTTCCCAAAACATAGGAAAAGAGGGATTTTAGGAACCTCTAGGTTAAACATATTTAAATAAGTTTCTTTCTCATCTGCCTGAGGACTGGGGGGTCCCAGGTTCAATTCCAGTCAAGGACACATACCTTGGTTGCAGGCTCTTCCCAGGCCCAGACCCTGGTTGGGGCTCATGCAGGAGACAACCAATCGATGTGTTTCTCTCACATCAATGTTTCTCTCTGTCTTTCCCTCTCTTTCCCACTCTCCCTAAAAATCAATGGAAAAATTCCCTCAGATGAGGATTAACAAAAAATAAAAATAAATAAATAAGTTTCCTTCTTATAGAGTTTCTTAGGGATTTTTATGCTGCTAAGTATTGTGGATCTCCAAAACAAAGGGAAGGGGAGGATGACTTACCTCTATTACTACTTCATGGAACACACACTTTGGAATATGTTATCTTAGGCCATTTACAATCCTGATTCTCTCCTCTAGAAACAATTCAGCCTACCAATGCCCCCATCATTATACCCAACACTCAGGGGAGGGCTAAGCTGACCAGTGTGGGCAGAAATGATAAGTACTACCTGGTTCTGAAGGCTATCTGTCCAGAACAGATGCATGTATGGGAATCCATCTCACTGGACTTTGATTCCCATGTGTCCAGCATCTCCATATTTCCAATGCTGATCTTAATAGAGGAGGGATGGTTTCAGTGCAGACACAGAACTCTTTAGGAAAAAAATGCAAATCTCTCCTCCACTGAAGTCTCAAATATGGCTCAGCAAACCAAATGTTGAACTAATCAACACTATTATTATCTCCTAAGTTCTTATTATTTTAATTTTTATATTAAAAATCATCTCACAGACCCAATAAATAATTTCATCAAATTGATAACTTCAAAACTGAACCAGACTATTTCCAAGTCTCCAGGTATATAACCACAATAACAGAAGATCAGTTAAATTGCTAGTGATGAGCAGATTCATAGAATTCTAGAACTTTTTTAGTTTGAAGGGAGCTTAAAGAATATTTAGCCTAAACCTCTAATTTTATATAAATATATATATTTTTCCCTAATCTTAACAATAGGGAAAATTGATTCCAAATATCTGAACACTAATGAAAACTATGCAGCTGAGGCCTAGGATGATATTAATGCATTTGGGCGATACAAACCACTTTCATTTTCATTTATGCTAACAACTCTGCTTTCCTACCATAGGCTTTACTGTTGCCTGCTCCTGTCCACTCGGCACTCACCATTTCCAAGCACAACAATCCAACATCTTCCAACTGGCAGCACCTGAAGCTACAGATGCTCCTCCATTTACAATAGGGTTACGTCCCAATAAACCCATTATAAGTGGAAAATAACTTAAGTTGAAATGCATTCAATACACCTAACCTACGGAACATCACAGCTTAGCTTAGCCTACCTTAACTGTGCTCAGAGTAATTACAGTAGTCTACAGTTGGGCAAAATCATCTGACACAATGACTACACTGCAGAGTATCAGTTGTTCAGCTTCATGATCACTTGGCTGACTGGGAGCTGCAGCTCACTACTGCACCCAACATCACGAGTATCATACCACATAACACTAGCCCGGGAAAAGGTCAAAATTTCCACCAAATGTGTATTGCTTTGGCACCATTGTAAAGTAGACAAATCTTAAGTTAAAGCATCATAAGTGGGGGACAGTTCATAGTGGCTTGCAGACTTTCCTGCCACCAAAGCCCTCTTGGCCTAGGCTGGGGAATGCCAGAAGTTGATACAACTGGTGGAAGCCCTCAAGCAAGAATGGAAGGTGAGTTGTAGGATAAATACTCTAGTTCCCTTGCCCTCAAGACAGGATCACATTGAAGCATATTCTACAGCTCTGCAGCAGGACTGTTGTCCACAGTGATAACTGGCTTGGTAACAGACGTGTCATAGGCAGAATAGTGGCCCCTAAAAGATGTCCACATGCTAACCCCCAGAACCTGTGAATATGCTATTACATGGCAAGGGGGAATTAACACTGTTAATCAGATGAGCTTAAAATAGGGAGACGATCCTGGATTAAAGAGGACAGTGGGAATAAGATGTGACTATGTAGGAATGGTCAAAGAGATGCAACTTCGCAAGTTTGAAAGATGGAGGAAGATGGCCATGAGACAAAGAATGTGGACCACCTCTAAAAGCTAGAAAAGTCAAAAAAATAGGTTCTTTTCCAGAGCTTTCAGAAAGGAATGCGGCCCTGCCCATATCTTGTGTTTAGCCCAGAGACCCAGGTTAGACTTCTAACCTACAGAACTATAAGCAAATAAATTTACATTGTTTTAAGCCAAGTTTGTGATAATTCATTATGGCAGCCATAGAAAACTCCTACAATACAATTTATTGCTTCCTTCCCTCCTTGTCTCATTTCCCAACTCTCCTGCTAGTGTTTCCTGGCATCACCTCCCAAAAGAACTATGTGCACTTGAATCCTTGTCATAGGGTATGCTTTTGGGGAAGCCCAAATCAAAACATTGCCACCATTTTTAATCATATTTAAATTGCCATTTATCCAAACCAAAATACCAGAAACTGGACGTCTAAAATCAAGACTAAATTTTCTGTGCACTAAAGCAAGCAAAAGTACATAATGAAAGTGGTGATATTATTGACAATGAATATTATCAGAATTCCCAATATGTATAGAAATTCTGCATTACATAAGTCTACAATCTTTTGGTATTAATGGCCTTTAAACTGATATACATAACTCCAGACACTGCCAATTTTAAAACTATTGCATAGCTACTCAGATTATATTTCTAAAGACAAATCTGACTACTTGCTCAAAAATGTCAATATTTTCTATTGGCTATTAATGTCCAGGCTCTTTACCCGGCATTCAAAGCCCTCCAATTCAAACATCAACCCTCTTTTCTTGAGTTCTTTTCCACTGCTTCCCTTCATATACCACTTAAAATAGTCAAACTAAACTCTTTGCTATTCTATCATCACATTTCTTTCCTTTTCTCACATTGTTTCTTCTATCTGGAATGTGGTTTGTTTGTTTGTTAATCTTCACCCAAGGATATTCTCTCCATTGCTTTTTAGAGAGTGGAAGGGAGGGGAGGGAGGGAGAGAAACATCACACATAGATTGGTTGCCTCCCACATGCACCCCAACCAGGGCCTAGAATGGAACCTGCAACCCAGGTGTGTGCCCTTGACCAGGAATCGAATCAGCAATCCTGTAATACTCAGGCTGAAGCTCCAACCAATGAGCCACACCGGCCAGGGCTGGAATGGTTTTAGACTCATCACCATCAACTCAAATCCCAAGGTCCAAATATTTGTAGTATGAGTCAATGCACAAGTGAACAAATGCATAAAAATTAAAACTACCTGTATATTACTTGGCTTTTCTGTGCAGGCAGACATACGCCCTGGTAAAAAGAATCAGAAAACAAATACCTAAAATGGTGAGAGTGGGTCCAGCCCATGCCAGGTTCCATGTCCTCTTTTTGCTGAACAACTAGTGACTTTGTTTCTTGGGTTTTTTTTTGTTTTCTTAGACTTCTATGTTCTGCCAAAGCAGCATGTTCTTCCTTATTTGTCAATAACTGGTTTCTTTACTCATTTACTTACCTCGGATATTCTGTTCCCCAGAAGAAAGGCTTCTGGAGCTCTCCTGCTGGAAATCCTGGGGGAAAGACAAACAAACAAAAGTATAAGGGATATAGAGATTGATTTGATGATAAGTACCTGGTTCCAGCTTTAGCCTCAATGTTTCAAAGGCCCATATGAAAGGTACTCCTCAGGGAGCTGGGAACCCTCTAGGTCAGGAGGTCCAACTGTCTTGTCTCTAAGATGATATTAATTCAACTGAATTTGAAATAGGTACATTACATCAATTTCTCTTTTATCATTTTCATATGATTTCTTTTTTAAATTTATCTTTATTGGTAAAAGTATTACAGATGTCCCCTTTTTTTCCCTAGTGACCCCCCTCCACCTTTCACCCAACCCCTGCTCCTGGCCTTCACCACACTATTGTCTGTGTCCAAGGGTTATGCATACATGCATGAGTTCTTTGGTTAATCTCTCCCCACCCACCCTCTGCCTTTCCTCTGAGGTTCGACAGTCTGTTTCATGCTCCTATGTCTCTGGATCTATTTTGCTCATTAGTTTATTTATTTTTAAAAAATCTTGTTTTTAT